ACAAGAGATATAAACAGGGCAAACACAAACATTACATACAATGGCATAAGTAAGTAAAGGCTTTCACACAACCTAACTTTGCACAAGCAGTATCAGCTATGAATTGTGTTATTACTAGAAATATTTAGCTTTCAATGAAATATGCTCCCTATACTTCAAATTGTACTTATTTCATTTTTATCTTGAAATATTTAAAAAACTCAAACATATTAGAACTACATAAAGAAAAAAAAATTGCGAAAGTATATGTAGTTGTTATATATGGTTTTTATAAAATTTTAATTATTTATCTCATTTAAGTGCCCTGAGAAATGAAAATATACAACTTTATTTGAATAATACTATCTGACATACATCTGATACTTCCACTTCACTACTTCGCATTTAAACGTAGATTGTCATAAACTAGAGAATATTAAATAAGTATTTAATATATTAATTAGAGCTACAAATACGTTAAGCAACCAAATAGATTTTGAAAACATATATACATTCAAATTACGAATACTGTATAAAACACCCGTTATAAATGAAGGGTGACCCCGGTTGTTTTGTATGAAAGCTTTACCGGACAAATCAAGTACCGACTGTTTCGAAAGCATTTTCAAATACAATAAATACAAAGGAATCGTTAAATTTTTCGAAACAATGCATTATCGAAGCATACAAAGCAGAAATAAGAACGTAATCCATAATTAAGACTGACGGATATTAAAACAAAATAACCGGGAAACGAAGCAGCGGCAAAACTGATTTCGGTATCCATCTTGATTTGAGACTCACCATTAGCCAGAGCAATCGTACATTCTTGAGGATCAACAGTAAAGAGTCGGCCCTCGTAACGAATATCTGCCTTCGATATTAAACTTATCTTCGAACCCAATTCTGGCATTCCTCCGCTCATCTTGAATCTCTTTCTTCTGTACGGTGATCGATGTGATATTACAGGATTCACGATACCATCTGACGAAACCACCAGCTAACACCAATGGTCGACAGCCAACTGCCAAGCCTACCAACAAAAATTGCGCATGCGCCACACCCCACGTATTCAGAAATGATTTATATGTTTGAAATGTTACAAAATTGAATATAAATAAATTATTAACAAAAATAAGGAAATAAGAAAGAAACATACTAACATGAACTGCATTTTATAATAGAATATTATACACTGTACAAATTTGAAATTTGAGCTTTAAATAACATATACGTACAAATGAAACATTACTGTTTTGCAATCTAATAAAAGATATAATACGTTTGTTAATGTTTATGTAAGCAGAAATATTACACTTAAAAAAACATTTATGAATAAATACAATCATTTAAAAGTTAGTTTTACGGTATTGGTATCTTTGATTAAAGTCGCCTTAGTATTAAAAGTTGTGTAAGTACCTTATACTTTTGATTCTACTGCTTAAGAAATCTGTGAATGTATGCAAAAATATGTATGTAATAATACATAAATTTTAAAAATACAAAGGATTTTTGTCTGACAGAAATGTGTATATTTTTTTTTACAGATATTAATTTAACTAACAATCTTTGCACATTGTACCTTTGGCCAACATGGCGGCTTCATTGGGTCGGGTTTGTAAATCTGGTCTTTTGAAATCGAATTATGGAACATTATACAATCAGGTATGTAATTAAATAGTATCGCATGCTTCTAAGTGCATCAATTACTCTGTTTCCAAAATATGGTTCTTTACTGAGATGTTAATTTTATAATATTGTCGTTCCAACGTTAATATGATGTTCTTGATGAACTATCCAACTTGTCGGCTGCTATGACATTTTTTTCAAAGATACTTTAATTACGTGTTGTCTATTATTCCTCCAGTTCTAATTAATCATATTTTATAACAGAATAATATATTTAACAGGATTTTAGAGACATTTTATTTAATGTTATGTAATAGTTATCAGTATAGAAAATTGTGATGCTGCCATTGCCAAACAGATCTGAACACTGTCTGGATAGTTTTAAAAAATCAAATTTATAACTGAAAGTGTTTATAGTTTTAGATTATTTCAATAATTGTGTATCTTATACAATGAAATAAGAAAAATAATGAAAAAATTAATGTAAAACAGTTACTAATATCTCATGTGTTAAAATAATCCTTTTATTGCAATATTAAGAGATAATAGTATTGATTATGTTAATGTATGTTGTAAATTTGATTAAACTTGAATAAAATTTAAACTAAAAATATTTTATTATAAATTGAAAACTTTTGATCTAATATTCAAATTTTAATTTAGCAGGTGCATAATTTTTCTACTGCAAATCAATGGTCTAGGGGTAGAAAAGTGGTATGTGTATTTCTCTAATCAATTGAAGATGCCCCCCCCATTCCTATTCCTAATGTACAACCAATAAGGTTTAGAGTCTATAAATACATGTATAATAACTCATTAAATACTAGTAAGTTTTAATTACTTTAATTATCACATATACGTATTATATATTATATAAACATATGTAATATGTATGCCTTATATAAGCAGTTCTTAAAATATTTGTATGATTAAAATATTTACAGTTATTGGCATGTTTGGGAGTGACAGCTGGAGGTATCAGCGCACTAATTTATGCCTTGGATCGATCTGTCAAGGCTTTTGAAGAAGTAGCCCATTCACCACACTATAAATGGAGTTTTGATGGACTGCTTAGTGCATTTGACCATAGAAGGTAACTAAAAAATAATAAAAATTATTGTGAAATATACATATGTTATTTTTCACTATTTAGTCTTCGACGAGGTTGGGAAGTATACAAAAATGTATGTTCAGCCTGTCACAGTTTACAATATGTAGCATATCGTAATCTTGTGGGTGTTACACACACTGAAGAAGAAGTAAAGGCTATAGCAGCAGAAAATCTAGTAGGTACTTTTAAATTATTGAAGCCATGTTAAATATATGAAAAGATAGTTACTATAAGATTTGTTAATAAAAAAATTTTATAGTATAAATAAAACATATCAAGAAAAAGTTTTACTAATACAGGTAAAAGATGGTCCAGATGACCAAGGGAATTACTTTATGCGACCTGCAAAACTAGCAGATCAAATTCCATCTCCTTATCCAAATGAGGAAGCTGCAAGAGCAGCTAATAATGGTGCATATCCACCAGATCTATCTTATATTGTTAATGCAAATCATAATGGAGAGGTAACTTAATATTTGTTAATTCTTTATATTAAATATTAATTGTACATACTATTAACATTGTTTGGAATAACTTTTTAGTATTCTAGAAATTTGTTAAAATTAAAATGTAATTTACATTTCAGAATTATGTATTCTCCTTGTTAACTGGGTATTGTGACCCACCAGCTGGCATTAAGTCTCAGGAGGGTCAATATTTCAACCCTTACTTTCCTGGTGGTGCTTTGGGTATGCCACAAGTAAGTTACTTTAAATACTAAAGATATTTTTTTTTTAAACAGATTTCTAAATTAATTGCGTAACGTTTCAGATTATTTATGATGAAGTGATAGAATTTGAAGATGGTACTCCTGCATCTGCCTCTCAAGTAGCAAAGGACGTTTGTGAATTTCTTATGTGGACATCAAACCCCGAATTAGATGAAAGAAAAAAATTAACAATAAAGGTAATTTGTGTGCCTGTGTGCACGCGTACGCAATTATTATTAAATAAAAATTTAATATAATTTTATGCATTTGTAGGTTGTGGGTATTGGAACTTTATTGGCATTGTTATTCGGATATTGGAAGAGGCAAAAGTGGTCAGTCGTAAAATCTACCAAACTGATGTTTACTCCAACACAAAAGAAACCGTAATACGTTTTGCATCTAAAGCTACATTAGCTCAAATAAAACGATTCGACGATGTTAGGTTCCAGTACTGGAATGTAGTTTTATACCTTGTTTAACTGTTGCGGCATTTAAAGGAAGATAACTGCACGCAAACTGATAGACGTTTGCTTAACACGTCAATCGCCTTGTACATATAACTACAATCAATGATGTCGTCTGATTTAAATAAATCGTTAAACTTATTTAATGCAGCACTCATTATTTAACCAAAAAAGTCCCCAAGTATAAACATTATAAGGAATAAAATAATGTCAAGATAATTTCTAAAGAAAATTGTTTATTCTTAAGCTTGACTTTATCGACATGAAGTAATAATTATTTAATATTTTTATTAGTATGAATTAGATTACACTATTACATTAATTATAGTGTAATACTGAAATGCGAAGCTGATGAGGAGGTATGTATAATGTTTCAGGTAGTTGAGAATTTCATATTACACGATAAATGTGAATTTGTGTTAAAAATCTCGTACTTTGGTTTTGGATTTACTTTAAATATAAGGACAAACATCACTACAATTTGGATAACAAAATTTCAAAAAATTATATTATGTTTGAAATAATTTATAATTATATCTCTTTTTCTAAAATGTAACATAATTATGAAAAACTTTTTTTCCGCTTTGTATACAACTTTATGGGAACGGTATAGTTCATAACAATTCATAACAGAATTGCTCGAATACTACAAACCTGATTTCTTAATGGTTGGAAAGCTATTTATGGTACTTTGGATGTTTATTAAAAATTAAGTATGATTTCATTAATACATCAATTATGAAGCTTGGATCAAAGAGTAAACAATACAACGTACTATGCCTGCACTATGATGACCAAAGAAACTTAAGATACATTTCTAATATATAAATAGTGGAATGGAGAATTAAATATTTTTAATCTAATGCTTCATACATTGATGTATTCATTGATGCAACACTATACCATTTACCATATATGTTATTATAAATCAAATTACTACAGTTTGTATGTTTCAATTGTAACATAATTTGTTTATCAATTAAAAGACACTTTTCTTTTTTATATAGAATAAGAGGCCGTTCTTGGATGATGTCTCAACCAAACACGCTCGATACATGCACACTTTTATGCTACTTGCACAAAAAGGCACATTATTACATCAAATATTGATCTCAACAACCTGCTATTCGCTAAAATCTTAATAACAACTAACAGAGGAAAAGTAAAGGCTTGGTAAAAATGAGCACACAGAAATATAAATTATTAAAATTTAGAATTGTCTACAATAGTAGTTACTGAGACACCTCCACAAATCATGAAATGGCACTTATGCACAAACTGAAATGTTAACTAATTCTTATTCAGGCAATCCTTTTTTTCATTTAAAAAACTTTGAAGGCATAAGTTGTTCTTACTGATTATTACTTTTATTACACAGTCTGCGTTTCCAGTTTTAAGAATCAAAATATGACTTTTGCTTTAGATTGTATTAACTTAAAAAGCTGAAACAGCATTTTCTTAAATTAAATGTGTGTGCATATTTTTAAAATAAAGTATTAAAACTAAAATAATAATTTTACATATATGTGAAATGTGTTCTAAGGTTAAGAAATGATAAGTAATAATAAATGTTTTATGAATTTTGTAAGTAAATATTTCGGTAAACTGAAAACACTGATTCAACTTTTATAGTCATCATCACCTTTTTCTTTTCATACAGGTGTTACTTCTTAGTATATGTCTTTACTCGGCACCCACTTAATATTATTTGGTACCTTCATAGAATCTTGCCCCATGCTACCACAGAGAGGAAGAGGTGTTGAGTTTACATGTGGTTAGGCTAAAAAGTGCTACCCTCTGGAGGCTGAGACAGTTTCATATTTTCCTTCAATGTCATCAAACGACGAAGTTCTTGTAGAACTGTTTTAATTGTGTATTCTCGTTGCCATTTTGCAAGTACTGGTACACTGCGGTTATCAACCTATAGAATATAACATGTGAAATATATATTTCTATGTTATTCAATTTATATAAGTAACAAATACTTACTGCACCAGTAGTGCTGTTGATGCAATTCATATTAATCCTGCTTAAAAATCTTACATTAGGAGCATCATCTGGATACTTCTGACCACAGTCAATTTTCAAACTATACATCCTATTTTCATATGGTGTCTGAAAAAGTGTTATATGATATTTAAATAATAAATGTAATGAATAACATTTGTAAATATATAATATTCATTTCCCATTGATAACAATTAAAACTGTAAGCTTCCTCAACACTATTTCAGTTTCAATACATTTAATCATATCTGTCCAGATGTTACAATTTGTGTAATATAAGTTTATATAAAGTATAATAATAAAAAAATACTTATGAATGATAAAATTAACACATTAAATTTAAATTTCAAACTAATACATCCAAGTTGAATTAAAAATTTAATTTAAATTACTCTAGGTGGTCCAATTATCATTCCAGTCCAATGTGTAAGAGTCATGTCATCATCGTTTTCCAAGCCCCAACTGATTGTACCATCACCTACACCTTTTTGACCTTGTTCTAATTCCTCTAGTAAACGAAAGTTTCGAGGCACAACTAAAAATGTAAAATTAAAATTATTTTCTACAGATATATAAGTAAAATGCTATTAATTAAAAAAGCTAAAACAAATACAGGTTATGAGTTTGTGAATGAACCATTGATTAGTTTTAAACACGTTTACTGTGCGTGATAACGTACATTATATGTCTCATCTCGTATTTTATCGAGATTTTGTGGATACAATTTTCATAATGAAATTTTACATGCAATTAATTCTAAATTTTCTACGAAATTCTCTGATTTTTGAACGGTATAGAATTTGCTTACTGTTCGCATCTTTAGTCCATAAAAGAGACATAAAATACTTACCTACACCGGTATTGGGTACCGCCATGATATCTTATTTTTGTGAAGCGCTGTATATTTTTCTAAAGAATAGTGAATAACACCAAATAATGTATTCCGAATTAATCCACTTTAGAATATGCGACTTAGCTACAACACAAATCTTTCATCACCCAAAGCTAAAACAAGGAAAATAATACCTAATATTCAAGTGAAATTCACTTTGCGAAAATTCAGCCAACCTCCGTGAGGTTGTCTGTTTCCACAGACTACTCACTTTCTAGACGGGATTACTGCATCATAAGTTTCGCATCTCGTAATTGTCGATGTTGTTTTTTCAAGTCCAGACAAATTTACAATCTCTGTAATTTTAAAGTATTTATGTTTTTACGATACTTATAACTATAACTGTAAGATTACAAATTTTAAAACTTTAATTCTTGACGTAAGCTTTACTTTTGCTAATAATATACATATAACTTTACTACTAAAAATATTCAAAGAAAAGTATGATTATAGTAGGAAACCATGTCAATAATTACTATTATAAGGAGACATACGTATATATGATATTTTTATAAAAGATGTACTAATATATCATTAAATTGGTGCTCATATCGAACATTTAATTCACGTTTAATTTTATATGTGATGTTTGGCACAAATATTGAATTTTTCTGTGTAGGGTCGGGGTTCTGCACTTTTTCGATACGGATATGAACAATACAAATGCTCGAGGGAAGGAAGGTTGGTACAAATGGCGTCTATTGGTAGAGGGGAGAAAGTCGGTAGTATCGCGCCGGCTGCGCAAGAGCAGCCTGCAAGACAGATTTTCCAATAATGAACAACCCGTGGTAACTGTCAGTCTGCTCGTGGTGCATTCGTTGACTCTTGCTGCGCACAGTGTGTTTCGGCGTGTGTTAAAATGTGCTGTATAATTAATTGAATATTCCACCGAACGCGGATTACTTGAAGAACGCCGAGAATTCTGCTGTAAGACAGGTATGTGGAAAAAAAGAATTCAAATTTTTCGCATTTAAGGGTCAGCCCTAAGAGACGTGAATGCTGTTTGACATATGAACAGGCATACCTATTGGAATGCTCACCATATAAACAAACGAACGCCATTGACCTTTAGCTACCCATTGTTGCTAATTTTCAAATATTTCAAAGAATTACTTTTTAAATAGACTATACTTTCTTCACCTTTTGTATCAATTCATTTGTAATTTATATAATATTCGTGTCAGCGTCAAATTGATCCTTACAAGAAAAAGTATAAACAAAAAGTACAAAAACAGAACCTTTACAACGAAGTGATAAATGACAAATGAAATAATGAAAACTACTAAATATTACAGTAGTTTATAGCTTTAATATCTCAATTTGTTTCATTTATTTAATATCTGACAATCGTAAAGTGTTTGTTTTCAAGAATTAAACGCAGTTCGGTTTCTGATATTTCAGATATCATACCATAATTAAAATGCGTAGCGTAATTTTTCAATACTTCGTTATTAGAACCATTGCGTTTTTTTCAAATTACATTTTTCTGAATATTTTATACGAAATATTCAAAAGGGACATTAAATTTTTATTCATCGGTGCGCAAGGCAAACGGTACATTCATTCGCCACCTATTTTACATATAAAAATGCGAACAAGCGCGAGAATATCTAATATTTTCGGCAGCGCCTACTCCAAATATTTAAACGCGTCTGTTCGCTCTTAAAGCCTTTATAACATCTCGTAAACGGGTGCTACTATCGCGTTACAACGCGCGACTGCTCGGTTGTGTTACGAACGCTGCCATAAATGTTCGCGAGAATTGAACAAAACGATAATCGCTATCACCCCAGCCACGGTCAAGTTTCGATAGTTTCACGTCCACGCGAACCTACAATTAGCTCAATTATTTTTCTCCCGTCGAACGATATCGTTTGAACGAGCCTGCTTTTTTTACACCTTGGTCGTGGAGCATTGTTGTCAATGAATTACCTTCAACTGAACCATGAAAAGGAGAGCGGGCAACGACGAGAATGAAAATAAGAAAGCAATAAATGAGTCCTCGGTCGGTTTACAAAGAACGACCGTTCGTTGATTCGTTCGTTCGTTCGGTGTTCAAGTGTATACCGTTATAGGCGCGATTAACTTCAGCAATATTCGATTCCGTCGAGTCTGTCTCTCGGCGCGCAGGATCCAAGCGGAGG